AACTAACCAAAAAACGAGGGAGAAGATCCAAATCAATAAAATTAGAGAGGAAAAAGGAACTCTAACAACAGATAGCACAGAAATAAAAAGAATAATCAGGAATTACTACAAAGAGCTATATGCCAACAAATCAGGAAACCTAGAAGGAATGGACAGATTCCTGGACACACACAATCTACCAAAATTGAGTCGTGAAGACATAGAAAACCTAACCAACCAATAACCAGGAAGAAAATTCAATGAGTAATAAAGACTCTCCCAACAAAGAAAAGCCCAGGCCTGGATGACTTCACTGCTGAAATCTACCAGACATTTAAAGAAAAATTAATACCAATTCTTCTGAAGCTATTCAAAATAATTAAAAGGGAGGGTGTCCTCCCAAACTCAATCTATGAAGCCAGCAACACCTTAATTACTAAACCAGAAAAAGAAACAACAGAGAATGAGAACTACGGACAAATTTCCCTGATGAACATAGATGCAAAAACCCTCAACAAAATACTAGCCAATTGAGTCCAACAACATATCAGAAAGATCATCTACCCCGGACCAAGTGGGATTTATCTCTGGTATGTAGGTATGGTTCAACATCCACAAATCAATAAAAGTGATACATCACATTGGCAAATTCAAGAACAAAATCCATATGATTATCTCAATAGATACAGAGAAAGCATTTGATAAAATACAACATCCTTTCTGGATGAAAACCTTAAGCAAATTGGGTATAGAAAGAACATTCCTTAACATGATCAAGCCAATCTATGACAAACCCACAGCCAGCATCCTACTGAATAGGGAAGAATTGGAGGCTTCCCACTAAGATCCGGAACCAGACAAGGATGCCCACTCTCACCACTGCTATTCAATATAGTCTTGGAAGTTTTAGCTAGAACCATTAGGCAAGAAAAAGAAATCAAAGGGACACAGATTGGGAATGAGGAAATCAAACTATCCTTATTTTCAGATGACATGGTTTTAGATATAAGGGATCCAAAACACTCCACTGAGAGACTATTGGAGCTCATAAAAGAGTTTGGTAAAGTGGCAGGATATGAAATCAACATACAAAAATCAATAGTCTTTGTATACACAGACAATACCATAGCCAAGAAAGAACTTCTAAGATTAATCCCATTCACAATAGCTACAAAAAATATTAAATACCTTGGATTAAATTTAACCAAGACATCAAAGATACCTATGATAAAAATTACATACATTAAAGAAAGAGAAGAAAATATTAAAAAGTGAAAAAATCTTCAATGTTCATGGTTTGGAAGAATCAACATCTTCAAAATGTCCATACTACTGAAAACAATTTATAGATTCAATGCAATCCCAATCAAAATATCAACAACATTCTTCTCAGATCTAGAAACAAAATGATGCTAAAATTCAGATGGAAACACAAGAGACCTCAAGTAGCTAAAGTAATCTTAAACAACAAAAACAAAGCTGGAGGCATCATAGTAACAGATCTCAAGACATACTACAGGGCATTTATAATCAAAACAGCCTGGTGCTGGCACAAAAGCAGACATGTAGTCCAATGGAACAGAACAGAAACTCCAGAAATAAATCCATGCATCTACTTCAAATTTACCTTTGACAAAGGAGCAAAAATCAATCCCTGGAGCAGACGGTCTCTTCAACAAATGGTGCTGGGAAAACTGGCTCTCTGCATGCAGAAGTATGAAACAAAACTCTAACCTTACGCCTTACACAAAAATCCACACTTGATGCATCAAATACCTAAATCTACAACCCAATACCATCAAATTACTAGAGAACATGAGAGAAACCATATAAGACACTGGCATAGGCAAAGACTTCTTGGAAAAGACCTCATAAGCACAGGCAATCAAAGCCAAAATTGCATATGGAATTACATCAAACTGAAAAGCTTCTGTACTGCAAAAGGCAAGAGGTCACCAATAGAATGGGAAAAAATATTTGCAAACTATGCAACTGATGAAGAATTAACTTCCAGAATCTATGAAGAACTAAAGAAACAACAGGGCCGGCGCCGTGGTGCACTAGGTTAATCCTCTGCCTGCAGCAATGGCATCCTATATGGGTGCCGGTTCCAGTCCCGGTTGCTCCTCTTCCAGTCCAGCTCTCTTCTATGGCCTGGGAAAGCAGTAGAGGATGGCCCGGGTCCTTGGGCCTCTGCACCTGCATGGGAGACCAGGAGGAGGCACCTGGCTCCTGGCTTTGCATCGGCACAGCTCCGGCCATTGTGGCCATTTGGGGAGTGAACCAACAGAAGGAAGACCTTTCTCTCTGTCTCTCTCTCTCACTGTCTGTAACTCTGTCAAATAAATAAATAAAATCTTTTAAAAAAAAACCCTCAACAACAATAAAACAAACAATCCAGTTAAGAAATGGGCAAAGAACCTGAACAGAGATTTTTCCAGAGAGGAAATTCAAAAGGCCTACAGACACATGAAAAGATGCTCAGGATCATTAACCATCAGGGAAATGCAAATCAAAACCTCAATGAGGTTTCACCTCACTCCCGTTAGAATGGCTCTCATACAGAAATCAACAAATGCTGGCAAGGATGTGGGGGAGAGGGTACTCTAAATCCACTGTTGGTGGGAATGTAAACTGGTACAGCCACTGTAGAAGACATTATGGAGGTACCTCAGAAAGCTGAATCTAGACATACCATTATGACTCAGCCTTCCCACTCCTGGAAATTTACCCAAAGGAAGTGAAATTAGCATATGAAAGAGTTATCTGTACCCTCATGTTCATTGCAGCTCAATTTACAATAGCTAAGATATGGAATCAACCCAGATGTCCATCAACTGAAGACTGGATAAAGAAATTATGGGATATATAGCTGTGGAATACTATACAGCAGTTAAAAATGAAATCCTGTCATTTGCAACAAAATGAATGCAACTGGAAACCATTATACTTAGTGAAATAAGCCAGTCCCAAAAAGACAAATATCATATGTTCCCTCTGATCTGTGGTAACTAGTAGAGTACCTACAAGGTAATTTATACGAGTGAAATTGACATTTTATGATGTGATGATTTTGAGCAGCACTTGTCTTGACAGTTGAGGACAATGTTTTTTGTCTGCCTGTTTTTTGTTTTTGGATTTTTTTACGTATTTCTTCATTGTATTTGTTGATCCCTCTTCTTACTGTACGGTTAATCTTATGAGTATAAAGTTAACTGAAAATAGATCTTTGTAAAAAAAAATAAGAATGGGAATAGGAAAGGGAAGAGGAAGAAGGATGGGAGTACGTGTGGGAGGGAGGATGAGTGGGAAAAATCACTATATTCCTAAATTTGTATATATGAAATGCATGAAGTTTTTATTCCTTAAATAAAATTTAAGCAAAAAGAAAGGAAAAAAAAGAGCCAAGAGTTCTTTTAAGTACAGTGGACTCTGGAGTGAAACCAAAAGATGAAGTTTGTTGATGAGACACTATGGGATTATGATCCCTTTAAAGATCACCTTTACTGCTTCAACTCCTTATTTTGTTATCTCTGTTGCTCTTACATTTTCAATGTTTTTCTAGTTACACATATCATGAAAAAATAAAGTTCATGAGTCTGCTTCAGAAAAACTGAGAAAGTGCACTCCACAATGAGGGAGAGCAGCAGCTGTGACACCACGGTCATGAAGATTTAAATACTACAGATCCTGAATTCCAAACAACAGTTCCTGCCTTTCTAAGCTTTTTCATAATTGGAAAACTTAGTTGCACAATTTTCAAAGTTCACAGAAATGAGCTGTGGGTTCTAACTTCTTATTTCATTGCTTCTTCCCCAGAAAATCACCAAATAAGACACAATGCAACCTGACATCCAGCCCTTCCCTTCTCTCTCCTCTCTCCTCTCCCTCTCCCTGACCTCAGGCCACCTGCTGAGAACAGAACCAAACCCACAGGGAAGTGATGTGAACAACATAGAACGTGTTGCAGGAACAACTCCACTTTCATCATCATTCCTTAAGATTCACGCGCATCTTGAGGAACCAATCTCAAGCCAGGATAGAATTTTCACTGATCAGGAGACAGGTGGCCTGCCAGGTTGAGATCATGGTGACTAAGTCTTTATGACTCATCTAGACCCTTGCTGCGCTCTCCCTGTTAGAGGTCTACCGGACCCAGGGAAGGGGTGGGGTGGTCAGGGGACACTCAAAGGGTCAGGGCGGCAGCTACTTACCAGTTTGTATGGGAGAATTTCTGTACAACTAGCTGGTAAGAGATGAACACCAGCCCTTACCATGGTGGTTAGCAAACTTTTTCTGTAAAGAGCCAAATGGTAAGTATTTTAGGCTCTGTAAGCTATTCGGTTTCTGCAATTTTAGTCCAAAAGCAGCCACAGAAAATACATCATGAAGAATTGCCTACTCCAATATGAAGCTACAAATCAGGCAGCAGGACAGATACAGCCTCAGGCTACAATTTGCAGCTCTTGTCTTCCATTAGTAGAGCCAACAGCCTTACAGAACATCAAACCTTCGACCTGGGGCAGGTGTTGTGGGGCAATCAGCTCAGCTACTGTTTAGGATGCCTGCATCCCATACTACAGTGCCTGGTTCAAGTTCTGCTACTCTGTTTCCAATCCAGCTTCCTGCTAGTGCACCTGGGAAGGCAGTAGATGATGGCCCAAGTCCTCATGTCCTCGTCATGTGCACAGGATACCAGATGGGGTTCAAAGTTCCTTTTCAGCCTGCCCCAGCCCTGACTATTGTAGGTTATTTGGGGAGTGAACCAGCGGATGGAAGATCTCTCTCTCTCTCTCTCTCTCTCTCTCTCTCTCTCTCTTTCTCTTTCTTTTTCTCTTTCTCTCTCTGTCACTCCGCCTATTAAATATATGAAAATAATCTTAAACTTTACCCTCAATGGCACAGAATCTTACCAACAGATTCAACCAGCTCTCAATGATTCCTAGGTATGCACTTGGTGTTTACAGATTCCAAGAGACTGGTCAAAAGCAGAAGTGAAATCCCCTTCCCCAGATACTCACCCAGAAAAATCAGTAGTGAGAATTCCATAGTGGAAGATGTATATTCGGCTGATGTGGCATATGGTAAGATACCCCATGGCTACAAAGAAGGAGAATCTGAAACCAAAGACACAGATGGCCAGATCATTACACATGACAATAATGCATCCAATAAGCATGTCTCTTCTTCCCCTCCAGCACCTTCCACATACATTTGGTCTCAAAGTCCTGTCCTACCCAGTTACATCCCTGCCCATCTCCTCTCCTCACCTTCCCACTCCCACTCCCACTGTCCTGAGCCCATCTTCTCTTCACACCTGAACCAAAGCAGTGGTTCCCAGCCTTGGCAATATAATGGGATCAAATTACAGATGCCCAGGACTCAACTCCAGGTACTCTGGTTTAACTGGCATCAGGTGCACCTGGCAGGTGTGTTTCCAAAGGACAGCCAGCGCTGGGAACCATGGACCTGTAAAGGTTCACAATCAGATTCTCCTCTTCTCACACCATCATAAAATGCAAATCATCAACATGGGTTAACCACTCCCTCCTTTAGACACTTTCTCTTGGCTTCCATGCTTCTTGTTTTCTTCCCACCTTTCTGGTTAATTCTTCCAAGGCTCCTTGCTCAGCTTATCATTCTCTGCCTTTAAGTGTTAGCATCCACTATGCTCTGCCCAGGACCCTCCCTATGCAGAGAGAGAGGGTGAGAGACAGGGAGAGAGGGATCTTCCATCTGTTGGTTTACTCCTCAAATGGCCACAATAGCTGGGGCTGGGCCAGGCTGAAGCCAGGAACCAAGAGCTTCTTCCAGGTCCCACACGTGGGTGTAGGGACCCAAGCACTTGCATATCCTCTACTGCCTTTCCAGGCACACTGGCAGGGAGCTGGATCAGAAGCAGAGCAGTCAGGACACAAACCAGTACTCATATGGGATGCCAGCATTGCAGGCAGCAGCTTCATCTGCTCTGCCACAATGCCAGCCCCTACTTCACTTCTGACCCAGATTCCTGCTAATGCATCCTGGGAGGCAGTGGATGATGACTCAGTTGCTTGGGCCCCTGCCAACCATGTGGGAGACCTGGATGGAGTTCCTGGCTCAGCCTTGGCTATTGCAGGAATCTGGGGAGGACTAGCACTTAGGAGACCCCTACCCCCTGTGCTGTGCCTTTTTAAAAAACTTTGTAGTTTGTTTGCATTTTTTTAAGATTTATTTATTTATTTGAAAGTCAGAGTTACACAGAGAGAGGAAGAAATAGTGAGAGTGAGAGAGAAAAAGAGATGGAGAGAGGAGAGAGAGATCTTCCATCTGCCAGTTCACTCCCCAAATGGCTGTAATGGGCAGAGCTGGGCCATCCCGAAGCCAGGAGTCAGGAGGAGCTTCTTCCATTTCTCTCATGTGGATGCAGGGGCCCAAGCACTTGGGCTATCTTCTGCTGCTTTACCAGGAGCATTAGCAGGGAGCTGGATCAGAAGTGAAGCAGCGGGCCAGCGCCCCGGCTCAATAGGCTAATCCTCTGCCTTGCAGAGCTGGCACACTGGGTTCTAGTCCTGGTTGGGGCACCAGATTCTGTCCTGGTTGCCCCTCTTCCAGGCCAGCTCTCTGCTGTGGCCCAAGTGCTTGGGCCCTGCACCCGCATGGGAGACCAGGAGAAGCACCTGGCTTCCGGCTTCGGATCAGCGCGGTGCGCCGGCCGCAGTGCGCCAGCTGCAGTGGCCATTGGAGGGTGAACCAACGGTAAAGGAAGACCTTTCTCTATGTCTCTTTCTCTCTCACTGTCCACTCTGCCTGTGAAAAAAAAAAAAAAAAAGAAATGAAGCAGCTGGATTTCAAACCGGTGACCATATGGGACACCAGTGTCACAAGTGGTGGCTTTACCCACTACGTCACAATGCTGGCCCTGTATTCTGCCTTTCAAGTCAAGGAAAATAAAGAAACTTTTTCTAAAATCTGTGCAATTAACTGAAAGCTTGTGTGCTCCCTTCCAAATTTCATGTTGAAATCCTCAACCCTAATGTGATGATGTATTGGATAGCTTTTCATTACTTCAACTAAAATACCTCAGAAGAGCTACTTAGAGAGGAGTGTTTGTTTCAGCTTACAGCTTTAGAGAATCACAGTCCAGTATCCAACAGGCCCCTCAGCTCCATACCTGGTGAGGCTGGAAGGGGACAGTGGCAGTATACATGGGAGGGGATTGCATGGCAAGACAGGAAGGCAACTTGGCTTAAATAACAAACCCCCTCTAAAGAAATTCCCTCCAAGACCACAATCCCAAAGACCTAAAGACCTCCCACCACGCCCACCTCCTAAATCAAGCCTCCTTAAATCAAGCTTCCACCCTTAGTCCGTTCACAATTAGCATGAATCCATTAACCATCAACGTAAGATTGCAGACCCAACCCCAAAACATGGGCCTCTGAGGGACATCCAAACTATTCTACAAACCCTACCAGATGGGGCATTTGTTGAGTGATTAGGTCATAAGGGCTGAGTCCTTGTAAATGGGGTTAGTGCCTGTAAAAAAGAGATTCCAGAGGGCTTTTCCACTCTCCATTATGTGAGGGCACAGCAAGATGGCAGTCTGCTTCACAGAAGAGGGTCCTGTCTGATCTCTGATTCCCAGCTTTCATTATTTTATGAAAAATAATATCTGTTCTTAATAAGCCACTCCATCTACAGTGTTTTGTTACAGCAGCCCAGGCTAAGACTACTACTGTATCCCTGATGAGACGAGGCTCTGTGTAGACAAGGATGGTCATGTGTGTTTTCTTCACCCCATCTACCTACTGGGCATTAAATGAGCAAACGACCGTGTGAATGCTACTCTTCCTGAAAGTCTCCACTGAATTCCACTACCTCCAAATCAAAAGGCTTGAACGCAGCATGCAAGCTGCTTCCCACACTAAGCTCCACCTACCTCTCTGGATCAGCTCCAGCCATGCTGTGCATCCAGTTCACATCCAAATTACACTTGGCTGCTCATAGTCCACAACTACATCCTATTTTTTAAGGCCAGATGTCTTTCCGCATGCCCCTCCCTCTGGCTCACCTTCATTCCCTAAAGTCTACTCAAATGGCAAAAAAAAAAAGCTGCTCAAATGGCAAAGACTATATAAATATTTACAAATCTGGAAAACCTCCCAAAGCTAATACACATCTGGTCCCAAGCATTTCGGAGCAGGGATCCTTAACCTATACCCTGCAAAAAGATCTTCCCCTATCTGGGGTCCATCCTACACCATTTCCAAACCAGGAAGATTGTCTGGAAAACCACTCACAAGCAAATAACTAAGGTAATAACTAACAACAAACCCCGCTAAGAGCTGAAGCAGGAGCAGAAGAGAGCAATGCCCTCCTCCGGTACCTGTTCCCCTTTCGGCAGCCAGTCCATGAGGCTCAAGGCAGAAGCACAGAAAAGACTCAAAGAGGAAGTCTTCCAGGACCATTTCCAATGTGGCCATTTCCAATGCAGCCGCACAGGAGTGAGAATCAGACCCTCTGCTGGCTCCAAGAGTAAAACAGGTTCAAATCAACTGTTTCAATGAGATACCACCTGTCAAGGCCAAGGTCAAGATCTGGGCCCCATTAAACAAGACAATGAATTCATGCCCTGGCCAGACCCGAAAACTCTAAGGAATCCAAGAGAGGTGGCATTTTGGAGGTGGAGCAACAGGAAAGCTTGGGAAAAAGTAATCTGAGGTGTCAGCTGGCTCAGTGATTATTTTAGGAAGGAGGGGTGTGAGACTGGCACATGAGGACTGGCAACACATTCCTTGTTGACCTGAGTGGTGCTCACCCTGTGAAAATTCATCCACTGTATACTTATTTCTCTTCCCAAGCTTTCATTTCCTTATGTCAGAAAAACGAATCCATATCCCATAGAGTTGTTCTAGAAATAGTGTATTTGAAACACTAAAATATTAAACTATATATTAAATAATAGTTTATATATTAAAAATAATTAAATATAATCTGCTAAAGAGAGAGTGGTCTAGGACAAGGTACAAAGGTAGGACTCCAAAAATGATAATCACATCACCAAGTTCCCACACAAGGCTGGCCCAAGGAGGTACAAACTACATTCTGCTCCTATCAGCTCACGCATGATGAACTGATGCCTGTGACAGGGATGGGGAAGGAAGCAGAAGGGGGTCCCCAGGGACTCTCCAAACAAGTCCTGAATAACAATCAGTCCAGAAAGATTAGCTGCATCGGGCAGCAAATACAAGCCCTCCTCCCCTCTCCCAGGCCAGGTGATTGGACTCCTCCTTCTGGCCCTGTGAAGTGCACAGGGGAGCAGCTCACAAAGAATCAGGAAATGATAGTGTGGAAGAGAACCTGCACTGAAACTACTACAAACCCCAGGTTTTACATTGGGAAAGCTGACTTGCCCAAACCCACGCTGCTGGAAGACCCAGATTTCCCGACTCCAGCTAGAGTTCTTCCCCTCAATCAATGGGAAATGACTCTGGATTTCTGAGTCCATCCATGGGGAACCATGGGCTCCTCCCTACTTCTGCAGCAATACTGGCAATCACGCAAGCAAAGTACCAGGGAAAGAATTTGTTCTGGTCTCTTTCCGTGTTGGTCTGTGACAGAGCCGTCTGCTACCACAGCGTGACCGTGGTGAAACAGCCACAGCCTGGATGGAAAGTGCTCAGCTCTGCAGGCCAGACTGGAATTCCGTGAACCCTGGACCTGACACGGAGCACGTGTGTGTGCACGTTCTTGGCCTGCTGGCAAACGGATGCCTCCCATCAGCATCTCACAAGTGTAGGCAGAGATAATAAATTACAATTTGTAAGCTAATTAGATATATGCGATGATATGCATCTTTATTATTCATCATTCAATTGCTTCCAAAATCATGCTTAGGGAAACCCAAGTAACTGCTCCCTCCCTCATTTTAAAAAAAGAAAAAAGCGGTTGTCTAAGTATTTTGTCATTATACAAAGCATTTATAAATCCCACTCTTTCCAAATTAGAAAAATGAACTTGTTTTTTCCCTCCTGGAAGTAAGGTTACCGTCGTCTTCAAGGAAGGCACTGAGGGGAGAGAATTAGAATCCAGATTTTCAGAGCTCGTTGTATACTAAGTTGAACTGATTATAGAGTTAAAGATTTGAAAACCAAAAATTGAGTCTAAGCAACTGTAAGAGAATACATTAAGAAGTTAGATTTCAATTTTCAAGAAGGAAAAGTATTGTGCTAATAGTCATTAATCAGAGTTTCAGAAGTGGAAATGCAGTATCAGCTTTTTAGAGGGCATCAGAAAAGAAGTCACAAAAGGGTAAGTATCTTTTGAAAGAAATTCAGTCATTCATTCCATAAATATTTATTGAGTTTCTACTTGTGCCAGGTATTGTTCTCGGCTTTGAAGCTACAGCAGTGAACAAAAGTCTTTGTTTTCACACAGCTGCCATTCCAGTGCTCTTAAGAAGCAAAGTAAATACCAAGTTTTCAGAAAGACCACAGTAACTGAGACAGTGCAAACACAGATGCCCAGGTATCTCAACCCATTATCCACGCATGTAGCCTTCAAGGTAGGACTCAATTACTCCTGTACCTTGAAATCAAGAAATCACAGTAAAAATGTCTTCCTTTTTAATCATTTTATTGTATTCACTTAAGATACACAATTTAGTAAATTTTGACATATGTAATACACCCAGTAGACATACACAACTCTATCACTTCCTAAAATATCATCATACCTCCTTGTCATCACTTTCAACATCTCCCTGTACCACCACCCCAGGCAATCTCTGATTTTCTATCACTATAGATTAGTTCACATTTTCTAAAACAGAAATTAGTGTGGTTTCCTTCACGTAGCATATTTCAGAGCCACTCACACCATTGTGTGTATCTTAATTTTTTTTTAAAATTTTTTTTGACAGGCAGAGTGGACAGTGAGAGAGAGAGACAGAGAGAAAGGTCTTCCTTTACCGTTGGTTCACCCTCCAATGGCCACCACAGCCGGCGTGCTGCGGCAGGCCGGCGCACCGCACTGATCCAGAGGCAGGAGCCAGGTACTTATCCTGGTCTCCCATGGGGTGCAGGGCCCAAGCACTTGGGCCATCCTCCACTGCACTCCCTGGCCACAGCAGACAGCTGGCCTGGAAGAGGGGCAACCGGGACAGAATCCGGCGTCCTGACCGGGACTAGAACCCGTGTGCTGGCGCCGCAAGGCGGAGGATTAGCCTAGTGAGCCGCGGCGCCGGCTATTGTGTGTATCAATCATTCATTTCTTTGTTTGCTGAGTAGCAATCTACTTTGGTGAACATTTGGGTTATTTGGGTTTGGGGCCATCATAGACAGAGCTACCTGACCCTGACAGATGCTCTCATCACCTGAGGTACAGTGTGCAGCACCCCTGTTTCATGAAGCCATCTCTGAAGATTCCCAGCCTAGCACTCCCCACTTTCTCCTTCTGGTTGCCTACAGAAGCTAGGATGCACCACTTGCGAAAAATGGGGAAGACACACATTTACCCTGGAATTACATATCAAAGATCATAAAAACCCACCCTGCCTTGTTCCCAGTCTTACCTGTGAACATTAGATATGCTTGCAGTAACCATGATTCCATAACACATTAACACCAGCACAAAAAGATGTATAGAGTACCTTTAAGACATAAAAGGAGGGGGGGGACATTGAATATATTTCATATTAACATAGCTATTGCCCACTGTACTGCTGCCACTTCACCCTTCACCCCCTCTCTTACCAGAAAGCAAGTGATCAGTTAACTCATGTTTATGTAAGAGAAAAATCAATCAAATGGGATTGCTCTGTGTAATTAAGATACTGTATCTTGAAGTGACATCAGGAAGTCAAGACATAGTTTGCCAGTTGCAACATTAATAATGTCAAGAATCCATAAAAGGAATGCTTATACTTTTTTCTCCTATACAATTGAGAGTGCAGAGAAAGTTCTTTCTTTGGGACTATATTATTATTATTTTAAAGTTTTAAAGTACCAGTACTGGGGCAGGGTTTGGCATAGCTGTTAAGATACCACGTGGGATGCCCACATCCAATATCAGAGTGGTTGGGTTCTGGTCCTGCCTCCTCTCCCAATTTCAGATAAGGTTCACCCTGGGAGCCAATGGATGATGGTTCAAGTACTTTGGTCCATCCCTGCTACTCATATGGGAGCTCATATTGACTTCCAGCATCCTGGCTTCAGCCAGGCACTGGAGAATGAATCAATGGATGGAAGAACTCTCTGTCTGCCTGTCTGTCTCCTTTTCCTCCCAGCCCCGGCCCATGTCTGTCTGTCTGTCTGAGTGTGTGTCTTTCTCCCTTTCTCCCTCTCTACCTTTCAAATAAATAAAAATAGCTACACAATCTTTAAAAAAATAATAATAAAGTACCAGTATCAACACTAAGCTTCCTCATATACTAAGACTTTTACCTAGAGAATGATTCCAAATACTCTTCTTTTCTCAAATTTTTGTTAAGGATAAGGAGAAATATTAGAGTATCCGGAATAAATTCACGAATTTCCTGAAGATGTACTTCTAGAAATGTTGGTCCCTGTTTAAAACTTCTTCCCAAGAAATGCTCCTCCCAGCACAGGTGCCCAGCTTACCTGACAGAGGGAAGTCCTGGCCACTGGTTTTAACAGAGGTGCACTACAGTCATTGTTCTACTCTGACAACATGCAAGACCAACGGCAATGTCTCTAGCAGTAAATCAAGAAATACACCACCATCTACTAAGATGAGGAAAAGTTCCTCCCAGGGAAAGATTAAACCTTATATGACCTGGGATGGGAGAGATGCACATATAGAAGTCTAGCATTTTTTTTAAAGATTTCCTTTTTACTTATTGGAAAGGCATAGTTACAGAGAGACAGGGAGAGTCGGAGAGAGAGAGAGAGAGATATCTTCCATTTGCTGGTTCACTCCCAAAATGTCTGCATTTGAACCCAGCTTCTTCTGGGTCTCCCACATGGGTGGCAGGGGCCCCAGCACTGGGCCATCTTCCACTGCTTTCCCAGGTGCATTAGCTCAGAGCTGGCTCAGAAGTGGAGTAGCCAAGATTTGAACTGTGGCACCCATATGTGATGCCAGCATTGCAGGCTGCAGCTTAACCTGCTACGCCACAATGCTGGCCCCAGAATCTAGTTTTAATAAAAAAAAATTCAATGCACTGATTTTCAATGGGTAGCCAATTTCCTGGAGATTCCTGCAACATCCCCATTATTTTACATATTTATAATATTACAAAATGTTACGAGATGGTGTTTCTTATCTTAACGTAATGTTAAGAATACTGTCACAAAACATCCAAAAGATAAAATATGAGAACTATGAAGCTCATACTCACCAGCCAAAACAGAAGATGGAGAAATAGATGCCCAAAAGGGTGGCAAAGGCATGGCGGACCTTGGAACTGGTTTTACAGGGAGTTAGGTAGATGCGAAACCAGAAGGCAGCACACAAGGCAAAGAGCTGGCAGGCCACAAAATTCACCTAGGGGAGGAAAAGACAGGAAAAATCTGTCGTTCTGTTGCCTACACGTGGATTTGCTCTTGGTTTCCCATATTTCCGTATCAAGATTGGATTGGGTTTTATTCTCTAGGAGAGTACTGGTTTAAGATGAAAGTCAAGGCCTTGCTGACTGCGAGGTCTGCTTGCAGCCCTCCAGAGCCACCCTAAGAGGAAGATTGCATTCTCCCTGAGATGCAAAGTCCAGCCAGAGACTTCCCTTGTGGGTACCTGGGAAATCAAATGCATCCCCAAAGGGATCACCAGTTATTTCTGACTCTCAAGTTCTCATTTTAATTTAGCACCAAATAAGCAAGAGTGTTCCTCAAATTCACGCTACAATGCTTCAGAAGAGACCTAGTCCTACACTGAACTTCCGACGCCCAGCCTGGCCAACTCTGCAAGGCAGGCACCAGATTTCTTTCAAAAAAGTTCAGTGATCGATTTCACAAGAATATTCTACCTGAAAGAAAACATAAACCAATCCTTGGAGACCTACAGGGAGGATCAGGTGATTTTAAAAACATAACAAACATGGGGCCAGCGCTGTGGCGTAGCGGGTTAATGCCCTGGCCTGAAGCGCCAGCATCCCATATGGGCGCCAGTTCAAGTCCTGGCTGCTCCTCTTCCAATCCAACTCTGCCATGGCCTGGGAAAGCAGTGGAGGATGGCCCAAATGCTTGGGCCCCTACACCCTCATGGGAGACCCAGAAGAAGCTCCCCACTCCTGGCTTCAACCTGGCTCAGTCCTGGCTATTGTGGCCATTTGGGGAGTGAACCAGCAGATGGAATCTCAATCTCAATCTCTCTCTCTCTTTCTCTCTCTCTCTGTAACTCTGCCTTTTAAATAAATCTTTTAAAAAATCATACTTTTGGCATATGATTTGTGTCTATAATTCTGAATCTGCTTTTGGAAATGGTAAGAAAAGTTTAGCACAAAAACATACACTTCAGCATCATTTATTATTCCAAGAAGAAGGAATCTAAAAGTTCAACAATCAGAAAAGACACTGATCCTAGCATCATGGTGCAGCACGTCTAGGCGCCGCTTGCTGTGCCAACATCCCACATGGGTACAGCTCATGTCCCAGCTTCTCCACTTCCAATCCAGCTCCCTGCTAATGGCCTGGGAAAGCAACAGAAGATGGCCCAAGTGTCTGGGTCCCTGCCACCCACGTGGGAGACCTGGATGAAAGCTCCTGGCTTCAGCCTGACCCATCCACTGAACCAGTGGGTAGAAGATATCTTTCTGTCTCCCTTTGTACTCTTTCAAAATAATAAAAAAAAAACTAAAAAAAAAAAAAAAAAGAAAAAGAAAAGACACCTGTGAGTACATGAAGCCCAAGAAGGATGCACCTGCCTCACCATCCTTTTTAAGTGTAATATGGGATCCCTGGAAAAGGCTGGTATGGAACTCCCTGTTCACTTTTTCTGACCCATTTTCCCTTAATAAAGCCCTCACATTCCTGTGTACTTATCTCACTTTCCAAATAAATCCTGATCTTAAAAAAAAAAAAAAAAAGAGTAACATGGGAGTATTTGCTAGAAGCCATAACTTTTGGTTGACCCCTGGAAAACTATTCATTGGATAACTAAACACTGAATACTAGGAAAAAATGCAGAGACATTATTTACTGGGGAAAAAACATGAGAGCAAAAACCAGCTAAAAGGAGGACAAGAGAGAGAGTAATCATGGTAAACATTACCAATGGAATAGAATGCCATCATTAAAAATAGTCTTATAAAGCACCTCTAATAAAGCATTCACTATAGCTAATAAAAAGGAACGTATAAAATTGTGTATGTACTTACAATTATGTTTAAAAAGTAGCACACAAAAAGGCAAAAATAACGTAAAACTGAATATGTCTGTTTTATCAAGATGGCAAGAATATAGACTAAACTGATCTGTAAAAAAAAAAAAAAAAAAAAAAGAAAGAAATTATCAATTCCCAACTTGACTCTCACTGGGATTAAACATGACAATAGGTCTGATCTGATTTCATCATCATTTAAAAAAAATCATCTATTATTGGATCAGCGTGGTGCGCCGGCCGCAGCGCGCCGGCCGCGGCGGCCATTGGAGGGTGAACCAGCGGCAAAGGAAGACCTTTCTCTCTCTCTCTCTCTCACTGTCCACTCTGCCTGTCAAAAAAAAAAAAAAAATCATCTATTATTTTTCACTTTATGTTTCTGTGTGGGAGCAAACTGTTGAAATACTTACTTAAGGTATACTAAGCTGATCTTCTGTATATTAAGATAATCGAGAATGAATCTTGATGTGAATGGAAGGGGAGAGGGAGTGGGAAAGGGGAGGGTTGTGGGTGGGAGGGACGGTATGGGGGGGGAAGCCATTGTAACACATGAGTCGTACTTTGGAAATTTATATTCATTAAATAAAAGATTAAAAAAAAAAGAATATAGACAAATTTATTTTACAAATTTGGAATTGTAAAACTCCATGCAGAATTTCCCACACACTCACTACACACACACACACACACACACACACACACACACACACATCCTTCTCGATTCTATTTCTGCATCGCCAGGATTGCATTTACTAGCATCTATTACAAATAAAGTTTAAGAATAAGTTAGGCATCAATGCAAGAAATCAATTATGGAAGAATTTAATCCTAAAGAAAAGCACACTTCTTCCAGGCAGCAAAATGTCAAGAATAACAATGTGGGTGGTCAGAAAGAGTGGAAATATGTACCCTGATCTTTAATAAACCCTTCACATTTAAAAGGAACACAGGCAAAGCTTTTACATTTCTACTCATCCACTCCCTCCAGAAAGCTGCACTTTCGTTCCTGACATCCAACAATATGCTCTCCACAATTAGAGCATTGTGTGGGCCCTCCTGCATATGGAAACAAGAACAACTGTTTCGATCAGACTCCTAAACACAAGCAAGACTGACATAACTCAGATCCAGCAAGAGCTCAATTACCACCCCTCTTGCAAGATGTCAAAGGCACTGCAATAATAATAATAACAATAATAATAAAATACATGCCCAATTATTTGACTTCTTATTTCACCGACCACAATCAAGCTGTGCTGCAGTTTTCAAACACAAGTCTTACATGTTTCTATTCTACCGGGCTGCCAGAAAGTCATTAGGTGGGGATCTCTATTCCAAGGCCTTCTTATTCCTGCCCCCCTCCCCAAAAAAAACTTTGCCAGGAGCTAAAAACATTGGCCCTTCCTCCTAACGAAGAGAAGTAAACAGGCTATTTTTAACAAACAGTAAATATTAACAGTCCAAAATTATTTCCCCAGGGGATCACCAGTAAGGTGCACGCAACTGTTCTGCGCTGGAATGCTTTCCTCGGCAACACTGCCTTTCATGCTCCGAGACAAAAATGAAGTTAATTAAACAATTCCTTATTTAAAGACCAGCCATTCTTCCTCCACTCACAGGATTCGTTTGCATTGCCCCTACATACATATGTGTGCAGAGAACAGCACTGAAAATGCTATTTCTCCCCATGTCATAGAACAAAAACTGTTTGTAGCACACTCTTGCTACTTTAGCACATTCAAAGAGATCCTTGTTAAATCTTCATTCCAAACTCCTTGGAATGTCAGTAAGAAATGTTTTTAAATGTGTAATGAGCCCTGTTTTCTATTTCCTAGGCTTGGGAATGAGCAAATATTATTTAAGAGTTATCACTGATGTACATAATGAGAACTGAGATTCTCCCTGGCATTTTGTCTCATCCTAACAATCAATGCCATTTACTGAGGCTTACCATGTGCGGGGCAGTGATAAAACTCACATAACTGACTCCAGTTAAGGCTTCCCACACCCTTATGAAGGCCTCCCATGTTCCACAGGGGGAAAAGGAAGAACAAAGGGGTGAAGCACAAAGCTAGGGAGTGGCACAGCTGCAGTTTAAAACTCGGCCTGAATTCATACCCATACAGTACTGCCTCTTTGAAGTTCAACATTCTCCCCAGAAATAGGATCACTTGGGGGAAATTCAGTAGCTGCCTGTATTTAACTTCCTGGGAGTCTCAGAACAAAAGACCACGGAGTTGGTGGCTGACACCACTCCTGCACTCTTGGTCCTGGAAGTCCAAGATCAACCTTGGACAGGCTGGCTTCTTGGGAGGCCTCTCTCCCTGACCCACATCTTCCCTTTGTGTATTTGTGTCCATACATCCTCTTCTTAAAAGAACACCACTCAGATTGGACTATGCTAATGGCCTCAGCATACCTTGATCATCTCTTCAAATACTCTCCAAATACAGCCCCCCTCTCAGGTCTTGGCGATGCAACTTCAGCCCGTAACACACTGTCCAGTAAAAATCTTTCACTCCGACACACAGAATAAAGATTTCATTTCCATTCTCTACAGGTGGAAAGCACGGAAGATGGAAACCAAAGGCTGTGTGGAATGATGTGGGCCTCGACACAAAGCAGCAATGCCCTCCTGGAGGTACCTCCCCTGTGGGGAGCAATCCGGACTGGACTAAGTTACTGGAATTAAGACTTATTCTATGCATCTGCTCTCCCACAATATGGCGCTGGGAGAGAAGTAAACAGCTTCCGCGCAGCTGCCTCCAGTTCAACCAATTAACTGTAGGACTTGCTCCTGATTGGAGAGCAGCGTACTCGGCGTGTGGGCAGCCGAGTTGGGATTGGCGGAGGAGGACTATAAAGGAGGAGAGAGACGGCATGCACCAGGAACATCTATGGGGAACATCTAAGGGGAACACCTGTGCAGCCCCCGAGAAGAGCCGGCCGGCGGTGTGCCGCTCCCCTGCGGAAGTGGGGAATGTGGCTAGGGGGAACTGCCCTTCCACGGAGGTGGAAGGGATAGTAGCCAACCCGGGAAGAACCAGCAGCAAACCCGGGGAGGGCCGAGCAGACAAAAGAACAACGCAGGGTCCTGTGTCGTTCCTCCACAAAGAGGGGGAGCGACATAATGGTGCCGTGACTCGGATATGAAGCCTAGGCAGGGCTTAGTGTCGTTCCTCCACGAAGAGGGGGAGCGACACTCCCCCACTACAACTACAAATCACCCGCGACTGCTGCCCCCATGTCCATCATAACCTTGCTGGCCTACTCAGGGTTTGTGCACGGTGAGAAAGGTCATTAGCCTCTGGCCTTTGTTTCAAACACACAAGTCTAAAAGTACCAATAATCAGTATCTACTGAGCACGTAGTATGTGCCAGAGGTCCTTCAAACACCGATTGCTCTTCTGAATGTCTCACATCTACTCTGCCATTTAATCTTCTCAACAGCCCTCAACCCACTACCTTGGAAACTGAGACACCAAGTACCCCAAACTCCCTACTCTAAGCACAGTCAAATGCCAAGTGCACAGTCACCCCAGGTGAGTGCCTCTCTGGATCAGCCGTGCACAGGGGAGACTTGAATTACGCTGCAAGGGCTGACAGTCAGTCCTTCCAACAACTGGCCTTTGAGGCTTGCAGAAAGTCTCTCTCACTGGAGTCTGTATTCTCACATACCAAGCCTCCTTCCCTCCACTGCAGGGTAAGACATCCAGGCTCTCTGGAATGAGGCAGTCCCTCCTGCTTCTCAGAGAACAAATCCTGACATGCACACTTGGTTAGGTTTAAATTGAACAGGAAGACTTCTGGCTTCCCTTGTTCTGCAATATCATGCCACATGGATGAGCTCCCATTCAGAATGGAAGCCCTATAAAAACTGACTCAAGGGATAGAAGGGGGAAGAAATGAGTACACTTCCTCTTTTGGCCATGGCCAGGGAAATCTTGAAATATGTCTGCCTCCAGCTTGTCTCCCTCCCCAGAACCAAATCCGTATAACCCTTGGCCCAGCACACTGGGGAGACTGGAGAGCATTCAGGATCACTTTGGAAACCTTAGACCCTGTCAGTAGACATGTTGGCATTCACCTCCCCAGAAAACAACATTTCCCTAGGAGGTTCAATTCTACTGCTAGCCAGTTTAAAAAGTTAGTAATAATAAGAGTAATAGCTCACATTTATGCCACTGACTACACACTGGAAATCGGTTCAAGTCCTCCTTCCTGCGTAACTCCTACATTTTCACAACTCTGAGGCTCTTTGAGGTATCATCACTATAGATAATGAAATTACATCACAGGGCGGTTATAAAATTGACTCCCGAATCACACATAGTCCATGGAAACACTGGAATTGAAACTCAGGGAGTATCATTCCTGAGCGCCTCTGCAGAGCCACATACCAGGTTCATATTAACTCAGCTCCTCATGTGATGCCAGCATCCCAATCTCCAGACCCCAGTGAGAGCAAGTGACACAGCCCAGCCTGAATCCCTGCGATCCTCCACCAGGCCTGGATGTGGGGCAGAAGACCAGCGGGGCCCATCTAGAAATAAAGGCCTGAGTGAAGAACCCTGGGGCTCCACGGGGAGTGAGAACACACACGGCTGAGGGGGAAGATCACTGAATGTCTGTGGGCAGCTTTATCCTCCTGACCATGGCCTGGGCATGTCAGGTTTTAATTTTTATTTATTTGAAAAGCAGAGAAGAGAGAGTCAGACAGAGGGAGAAGCAGAGAAAGATCTTCCATTCACTGCTTCATTCCCCAAATGCCCACAACAGCTGGGAACTGGACAGGCTGAAGCCAGGAACTCAGTACTCAATCCAGGTCTCTCACCTGGGTAGCAAGGACCCAAGTATGTGAGCTATCACCTGCTGCCTCCCAGGGTTCATGGGAGCAGGAAGCTGGGCTTGAAAGAGCAGCTAGGACTAGAACCCAGGCAATCCGATATGGAATGCAGGTGTCCCATTTTAATCACTTTACCAAACACCCACCCTATTGTTGGGTTTTAAACACAAATGGAGACCATCACCAACAGCTACAGGTGCATGATATGTATACATGATGCATGCACACAAGTATAATGTATACATGTATTTAAAATATAATGCATACTTATATATGGTTATATCACATATATGCATACAAGTGTTTACAATGGAATGTATCTACTGTGTGAGATATGTATGTACATCACATGGAAGTAGAGCAGTGACCCACAACCCCCCAGCTGGGCCTGACACCTCCTTCTCTCCTGTTTCCACACTGAAAAGGAACACCACCTTGCAAGGTTATAAGGGATAATAACAACACCTACTCCACAAGACTGCAGTGGGCACTCAACGAAATGTCAAAGAACTTCAGTAACTATAAAGCTCCACAAGCAAGCAACAAACGGTCAAGTTAGCTACTCAGCATGAATACTAAGACAACAGAGCTCAACACTGAACACTGGAATCAACCAGAGAACTATTTAAAACAATAAAAAAAAATTTTTTTTAAGGGTAAACGCTATGTTACAAGGTTCTAGGGCCCCACACTGGATCACAATCGGGGCATGGGGCCCAGGTATTTTTTTTTAAAGTTCTCTGGCTGACTCTAATACACAGCCAGGGCTGACAGCCACCAGCCTGGACTTTTTGAGAAGCAGAGGAACAGGAAAAGCTCTTCCATCTACTGGTCCACTCCCTCAAATGCCCAAAACAGCTGTGGTTGTGTTGGGGCCAGAAACAGGAGTCTGGAACTCAATTCAAGTCTCCCACATGAGAGGCAGAAACCAATTTCTTGAGCCATCCCTGCTGTCTCCCAAGGTCTGCATTGGTGCGAAGCTGGAGTCAGGAGCCAGAGCTGGGAATCAAACCCAGGTACTCCAAGGTACAACGATGGCATCTTCACTGCTAGGCTGAAGACCTACTCCAAACAGCTTCACAGTTTCAATTCATCATACTACTAATGAAGAGAGAAAAGACAGTTTGGTGACTATGTGTCAGAGTAATTAAAAACCTTAATTAGGCACAAAATAGACAAGAGAATCTTAGAGTATTAGAAGTCATCTGGTTCAAGCCCCTCATTTTGCAGGTAAGGAAACTGGGCTACAGAGGGAAATGGTCACTGTGGCCTGAATCTCTTGACCTTACAGGTAGATGGGCTTCCACTTTGTTAATGGATTCAACACTATATGTCCAACATGAACTGAGACATCTTTATTGACACTTGGCTTACAAATTATCCATGCACTTGGATTTCCAACACTCCCTCGCCATGCCATACCCTGCCTCATGAACAGCAGTGAGCTACAAGAAAGGTTTAGTACACAGAACCTTGCAGAAGGTTTAAAAATGAAATAGGGTGCAGCTCAATAGGCTAATCCTCCACCTACAGTGCCGGCACACTGGGTTCTAGTCCCGGTTGGGGCACCGGATTCTGTCCCGGTTGCCCCTCTTCCAGGCCAGCTCTCTGCTGTGGCCAGGGAATGCAGTGGAGGATGGCCCAAGTGCTTGGGCCCTGCACCCCATGGGAGACCAGGATAAGCACCTGGTTCCTGGCTTCAGATCAGCGCGGTGCACCAGCCGCAGCATGCCTGCCATGGCGGCCATTGGAGGGTGAACCAACGGCGAAGGAAGACCTTTCTCTCTGTCTCTCTCTCTCACTGTCCACTCTGCCTGTCAAAAAAAAAAAAAAAAGAAAAAAGAAAAAGAAAGAAAGAAAGAAAAGAAAGAAATAGGCAGGGGCCGGTACTGTGGCAAAGTGGGTAAAAGCCGCTGCTTGCAGTGCTGGCATCCCATATGGGTGGCTGGTTGAAGTCCTGGCTGCTCCACTTTCAATCCAGCTCTCAGTGGAAGATGGTCCAAGTCCTTGGGAACCTGTACCTGCGTGGGAGACCTGGAAGAAGCTCTTTTCTCCTGGTTTTGGATCAGCCCAGCTCTGGCCGCTGCAGCCAATTGGGGAGTGAACCAGCAGGTGGAAGACCTCTCTCTCTCTCTGCCTCTCCCCCTCTCTCTGTGTAACTCTTTCAAATAAATAAATAAATCTTTATTTTAAAAAATGAGTAGGCATGGCCCAGTGTGGTACAGCAGATTAAACTGCTGCCTGTAATGCTGGCATCCCATATAGCCACTGGTTCAAGTCCTGGCTGCCCCACTACCAATCCAGCTCTCTGCTAATGTGTTTGGGAAAGCAGTGGAAGACAGCTGAGGTCTTTGGGTCCCTAAACCCATGTAAGAGTCCCAGATGGAGTTCTGGGCTCTGGACTTTGGTTGTGCCCATTTGGGAAGTGAACCCTTGGATGGAAATGATTGCTCTCTCTATAACTCTGCCTTTGAGATAAAAAATAAATCCCCCTTTAAAAAATTAATAGAGAAGCCAATTGGTCCATAGAAAAGGCATAAAACTTATCCAATATGATCTAACTATAACCTATATCCCCAAGACTCAATAAAACACATTATAAAAGCTTGAAGTCCATTTTTTCAGGCATCTTGTAAAGCTACAAGTACATAAAGTCAATAAAAAGGAGCCATAAAATCTATTTTTGTTTTATTACAAAATTAATAAATGCTCATTTAAACAAGTTGAGCCAATACAGAGACAAATAACTGAAAAAGCTCACAGAGCCCTCACCCTTAACCTCTCACACCTACCAACCAACTTCCTTCTTAGCAGATTGGAGTATATTCCTTAATAGTTTTTCTATGTTTGTTTAAAACATCCAAAAATATATCCATATACACTCATTTCTCCTTTAGCCTAAGATAACCATGGCTTCAAAATTCCTCTGTAACTTAATTTTTCACTCAACCAATGACAGCTTTCCAAGATAGCTTTCAATTCATACTGAGCTCACTTGCACATTTTAAAGCTGCACAGGTAAGGGAGTATGATGAATATTGTCCATTTTTTAGATTTTCATAAAGAACAGATAATCTCCACTCTATTCCTAGGTCAGAAAATACAGAAGGAACATTCCCACCTTCCATATCTCTTAAGCCACTCACTTCCTCCTGCCAGGGGAGGTAAAATGGCTTACCCGACTGGTGGCGTGTCTAGCCCAGGTCTTTGGGAACTTCTCTCTCCAGGATCCTGTACTTAGACAACAGCACTCTCTGCTTTGTGCTCCTTCCCACTCTCCGGCTCCCAGGGGTTTGCAGGTGGTTTCTCAACAGCACCCATTATAGAGTGGGTAAGTCAGGCTCCTCTAGGGTAAGGAGACAAGTAACCTCAGCTCTATCATTAATAAAGAAAATATGTTAAAGTTCCTGTCTGTCTCCTGGGTCTTATTTCTAAATTGGCTCAACTTCTGTGATGGAAAACAAACAATATTGTTTGTTAGTTGCCCAAAATTCCATCATTATGGAGTTGACATAATGTACTCACCATGCTATGACTTCCAAGTTTTTTCCAGTTTTTTTTCTATTGAGAATAGCACCATAAAAAACATCCTAACATCCTTATACCTATATCCTCATCTACTGGTAAATCTATGTCTATGAGATAAATTCCTAGCTTGTTCAAAGGGTATATTTATTTAAAAATTTTAATGAACACTGCTGAGGCTGGCATTGTGACATAGCAAGCTAAGCTGCCACTTGCAACACTGGGCATCCCATATCAGACTACCAGTTCAAGTCCTGCCTGCTCCATTTCCCATCCAGCTCCCTGTTAATGCGCCTGGGAAAGCAGTAGAACATGGTCCAAGTACTCAGGCCCCTGACACCCACCTAAGAGACCTAGATGGAGTTCTGGGCTCCTGGCATCAGCCAGGACCAGCCATGGCCATTATGGCTATTTGTGGAGTGAACCAGAGAATGGAATATATATATATATACATATATATATATATGTATATATATCCCCCTCTTTCTCTGTTACTCTGCATTTGAAATAAAAAAATAAATAAGGCCAGTTACATTCCCCAAAAGTTAAAGCAATTTTTACCCTCACGAATTGCAGTTCCCCCTCACTCCTTTCAGCACTGGAGGTACCAACACACGTTCACGTTTTCAATAGGATAGTGGGGCCGGCGCTGTGGCTCACTAGGCTAATCCTCCGCCTGCGGCACCAGTACACCGGGTTCTAGTCCCGGCTGGGGTGCCGGGTACTAGTCCCAGTTGCTCCTCTTCCAGTCCAGCTCTCTGCTGTGCCCTGGGAGGGCAGTGGAGGATGGCCCAAGTACTTGGGTCCCTGCACCCGCATGGGAGACCGGGCGGAAGTACCTGGCTCCTGGCTTTGGATCGGCGCCTGCGCCCATAGCGGCCATTAGGGGAGTGAACCAACGGAAGGAAGACCTTTCTCTCTGTCTCTCTCTCACTGTCTATAACTCTCTCTCTGTGTCTATAACTCTCTCTCTCTCTGTCTCTCTCTCTCACTGTCTAATTCTGCCTGGCAAAAAATAAGATGGTGGAAAACTAGTATTGCATTAATTTTAATTTGCACATCCCTGACTACTGGTTGATTTCCTCTTCATTTATTACCAGCCTTTTAACCAATGACCCAGATGAAGCAAGCACACAGATCCTTTTTATCGATCAAAGGTAACTGAGAATTGGCATAGAAAATCAGACTCCTGGGCTGGACTCCTACCCTGACCTGCTCATTGTGCAACGTTGGCCAAGTTCTTTAGCCTATGTCTCTACTTCTTCTTTTATACAATGGAAATAATGTAGCTACCTTCACAGAATTAAATGAGTAAATACACAGTACGTGATTAGTGCACCTGACATAGCACTAAATGCTCAAAGTGTGCTAGACAGAGTCAGTACCACCTCTTTTGTTCTACCAAACTGTTTATCCAACATAGCAGCCAGGAGCAAAACCCAAAGAAACTAATTAGAGTTCACCAAGTGGCAGAAAGCATATAAATGATTTAAAAACACTTCCCCCCAAGTCCCAAATACACAATGAGTTCCTACACAAAGAACAGATGTCCTAAATGTAAAAATGCAATCAGCCCATCTTTTTTTCCCAAGTGAGACCTGAGTTTTCAGTTGGCCTTTAAGGAGCCCACGTTCATTACTCACTTCTTCATCTCTTCCTTATTTATTTAAAAATTCCTGGACAAACAGTTAAAATTGAAAAGTTAATCAGACCTTGTAAGTCCATCCAGCAAAATGAATCAGTTATGCTATGATACTATGGTGTCATCCTTCTCACTGTCCCCAGCCACAGACACACAGGATATAACTGTTTCATGTCACTAAGGAGGCAGCAATACAAACATCATCAGTGTTTTCCCAGTGAGTAAAACCAAAAGGTTAAATAAGGTTATTTAACAAGAAATAGGGAAATGGACTCCCAAGTTGTTCTTTCCCATTGCCTCGTAAAACAAAAAAAAAAAAAAAAAAAAAAAAAAAAAAAAGAAACAAATGAACGAAAAAAAAAAAAAACTGACTTGAACAGTTTCTTTTCTGGTGGATTTAAGAACAACTTCTTCCCGCCAAGGAAAAAAGTGTCCTCCACAGCCGTCACACTCTCCGGTCACCAAGAACACTGCCTGCAATTTCGGATGCTACCAGGAGTGAGATTTGGGGGACAATGGAAAATGTGGAACCAGAATTATATTGTCTTATGCAACACCCCAGGGTGTGCAGGGTGTGACCAATTATCTCACAGTGTGTGTTGTGAAACTCTCAAAAAAAACTCAAAACAAAATTAACTTTAATTCAGTTTAATATGAAAATAAAACACATAGCATGTGACAGGCCAGCTGGTATATAAATGTCACCAGTCCAAGAGTCGGAGGACCGGACCTGAGGCTGAGTGGCCACCGCACAACAGGGGACTGTCAAAACAGGAATATCTGTGATTCTGCCTGGTCGCTAGGAACTAAGCTATTTTCAGCTCTTCTTGTGTAATCCTCCTCTCCAAAATATGTGTGTATAATAAAAGGGAACTTCAATGTGGACCAAGAGGCAAAGTAACTGCATGTCCTGTTTAAAACGAACCATACCCTACTCAACAGCAACTAGGCAACAACTATCAAAGGAAGAAAACAAGTTATCAACTACAGGCCAACAACAATTTAAACAGTAAGCACAAGTTTTCCTTGGCACCTATTAATTCTCCCACCTCCCCATCTCTCTCCAGAGTCACAGGACAGAGAGAAGGGAAGGAACCATCCATGTCTCTCACAAGAGTGGCAGGGGTCCAAGAACTTGAGCCATTTTCCACTGCTTTCTCAGGCCATTAGTAAGCAGCTGGATCAGAAGTGGAGCAGCCAGGACCTGAACCAGTGCCCATATGGGATGCCGGTGTTGCAGGCGGCAGCTTTACCTGCTGCACCACAGCATCCGCTCCATCTCTCATGCCTTCTTCAAACAAGTTATCCTTTTGTAAATTGCTTAATTTTGGGCACTGTCCCCATAAACTTTCTGTAAAGCACCAGTGACTTCACCATTCTTCCTCGCAAGTTTCATGATAAAGCGGATGGATGGTCGTTGTTGCCTCAATTTCAACAGAATTCATGTTGCTCTGATAAGGGCTCTTTTCAAACCAATGTGTAACCTTCTTAGAGCCTCAAACTAGATCCTGTTCAAGTATGTTATGACAAGTTAGTACAAATTTATTTTGGTGCAAAAAAAAAACTTTTGAAATTGATACAGTTTTTACATAATACACATTTTCCAGGGATCTTTTGAAAATCCTTCATATTAGCGATCCATTGAATTCTAACTCAATTTCTTATAATATTTTAATACTTTGACAAGGATAAAGTGACTTAGCCTAAGGGAACAGGCTGACTCATTTCACATTGTGTCACCAGTGACTACATAGATAGTGACTGAGTAAATATATTATACTGGCAGGAGTGGGAGAAGCAATACCAAGAAGTATCAGGGACTCACCACAGCTGGGGTTAAAAAATAACAGTAACTTCCTTCTGAGAATGGGCAGGGGGTGGGGGCAAGCACTGACCCTTTTCCTCCTTTCATGGCCACTGAGATTAGTTTATAGCAAGCCCATCACACCCATGCCCTGGTATCTGTGCACATGTCATCTGCAGCCCGAGACCATGTCTTCCCTGACAAGAGGAACCCTACCCACTCGATGCCTGCACTTCACAGAGAGAAGACTCTTCCATGGCTCTTGTCACAACCGCCTGATGTAGCCTGAGCTCTTCCACCTTGCTCTAATCTGCAACCCCCCATTTCTTTCTCCAACCACTGCCACTCACCCTTGCCCTCACTCCTTGCCTTTTTCATGCATTCTCCAACGCTCTTGCCTATCTTTTCTGACCACCACTCATGTCATTTTCCATCCTACACTCACTTCTACCATGTCTTAGAAACGCCCCCCAGGTACCTTGCAAACCCCTTTCTTGCTCCACTCAACACTGTGGGCAGTGCATCAACCACATCCCACTCTGAACCTCACAGAATGAGCTGCTGCAATTTTTTTGCTAACTAGGCTCACCACGTATGTGCATGCAATGAACCTGACTATAAAATCCCACTTGGAGCTGCCCTTAGCAGCATTTGAATTGCTGGACTTCAAACGGCTGCTAATGAACTCTAAGTTTAGTACGAACTGCCCCTTCTACCGAATTACTGGTTCCTTTTCATTTTTAAAAAATGTATTTATTTGTACAAAGGGAACAAATTTCATATATTTCATATACACAGTTTTAAGAACATAATGAGGGGTCAGCACTGTGGTACAGCAGGTAAAGCTGCTGCCTGCAGTGCCAGCATCCTATATGGGCGCCAGTTCAAGTCCCAGCTGCTCCATTTCAGATCCAGCTCTCTGTTATGGCATGGGAAAGCAGTAGAAAATGGCTCAAGTCCTTGGACCCCTGCACCCACATGGGAGACCCAGAAGAAGCTCCTGGCTCCTGGCTTCGGGTCGGTGTATCTCCAGCCACTGCGGCCATCTGAGAAGTGAACCATTGGATGGAAGACCTCTCTCTCTCTCCTCTTTCTCTCTCTCTCTGTCTCTCTACTCCTGCCTCTTTGTAATTCTGCCTTTCAAATAAACAAATCCTCAAAAATAAAAAGGAACATAATGATACCCATGGACAAGTGAATTTAATTAAAACTTTCATTTAATAAATGGCACAATGTATTGAAATCACAAAATGCTTCCAAACTGGAGGTGTAGAAAGACTGAATTAGAACTTGTAAGAATTAAAGAAACTGAAACAACCAGAAGACAGGTTGATGATGCCCAAACTGAGTTTAATTAGACATTTAATTAAAATAG